TTTCCTCCTCTTTCTCCTCCTCCTCTTTTCTCCCTCCTCCCTCCACCACCACCACCACTACCTCCTCCTCTTCCTCCTCTTCCTCCTCTTTCTCCTCCTATTCCACCACCACCACTACCTCCTCCCCCTCCCCCTCCCCCTGCAGTAGCAGGAGTGACTTTCGGCTGAGCAAGTCCGGCGGGGAGGTTGACGCCAAACATTCAGGAGATTAAAGATGCGCAGAAGAACCAGACGCAGGAGGAGGGACAGGAGGAGGGAGTGAGGAACGAGACGGATGCTGAGGAGAGTGACGAAGAGTTCAACGGGTCGAACATCGTCACCAAGGATTGGAACGTCGAGTGAGCAAAGCAAACTTCTCCCTTCTCTCTCCTTCCTCCTCCTGCCTGGCTTCCTACCCTCTCTTCTTCTCGTCTCCCCTTGCTACCCTCCACCTTGCTCCCCTCCCTTCCTTCCCTCCCATGCTAGCTTTCTCCCTCTCCGCTTGTCTCCTCCCTCCTCCTCCAGCTCGACTGCTCACTATCTGACATGTTTCCCAGCTACTACATGATCCTCGTCCGCAAACTCTTGTGCGTTTGCCGCTGCTCTGTGACGGCAGCTGAAGTTTTCCGTCCTGACAGGTGGGAGCCCACTACGAGGCAGAGGCGAATGCAGAAGAGAAAGATGGAAGGATTCTCGGGACACGACTCGTTGCTGAGTGTATCTGCGGTGAGGAGGAGGAGGAGGTGGTTGTGGTAGAAGACCAGTGGGGGCAGAAGCACCAGGAGCACTATCAGCAGGAGCAGGAGTAGGAGCAGGGGTGAAAACAGAAACGGGAAAAGCAAGAGGAGGAGGAGGAAATCTCTGGAAGGTCTGACCCCACCAACAGGAGAACATCAAGTCTCTTGCGGGCTCGGCCGACCTGTCAGTCGATGGATCCAGTCTGTTAGGAGTGAGAATCAGGAACTTGACGGTCAACGGCAACAACGCTGGTGAAGAATATCTGCTGGAGGACAGCAAGCTGTTCCGAGACCTGGCAGGTTTGCTCTCTCGGCTCCCTTGCTTTCTTCTTTCTATCTTTTTTCTCCTGCTCCTGCTCCTGCTCCTGCTCCTGCTCCTCCTCCTCGTCCTGCTCCTCCTCGTCCTGCTCCTGCTCCTGCTCCTGCTCCTGCTCCTGCTCCTCCTAATTGCCCTGCAACTGGACTCTACTCCTCTCTTGACCTTCACTCTCCTCGTCCTGTCAGCTACTCACTTCGCTCGCAGAGGTCAGCTTCTCCGTCTCCTTCCGCCGAGTTGGGCAGGTGAGAAATCTCATACCAGCTGTCCCTCAGCTGAGGATGCCCAGGTGATGGAAGGAGTTTCCCGGCGAAACGAGGTAAGAGAGGATGAGAAGAAGGAGGCAGGAGGAGGAGCAGGAGGAGGAGGAATATAGGGGAGGAGAGCGAAAGCAGGGAGATACAAGAGGAGAGGGGTGAGACAGGGAAGGATTGTTGCGAGCGGAGGAGGCTGGAGCAAGCAGGGAGATGGCAGAAGAGGCAGAGGTAGAGGCAGAGGGCGAGGACCAGGATGAGGAGGGAGGGAGGGAGGGAGGAGGGAGGGAGGAGGAGGAGGGAGGAAGGAGGGAGAGGAGGGAAGGAGAGGAGGGAGGAGGGAGGGAAGGAGGGAGGGGAGGGTGGGAGGGAGGGAGAGGAGGGAAGGAGGAGGGCGGGGGGTGAGGAAGGTTACTGAAGGAGATGATGAGTGAGCGATTCTTGCTAGATCTGCTTCATCCGAGCCGGCATGGAGGATGCTCTAGTGGCGAGGCTCCGCCAGGTCTTGATCGCTTCCTGCTGCTGCTCCTGCTGACCCTTGAGCAGGAGGTAGGAGAGGAGGCGTTCAACAGCTCTGGAGGCTACCAAGTGAGGGAGGAAGAGTGACAGGATCGCGAGAAAGGGAAGGAGTGGGCAGGGAGACGGGGATGAGAGAGCTGGACGTGAGGGAGGGGGGAGGGGGGAGTGAGGAGGAGATTGGGAACATGAAGTCGTTGTTGTATCACTTCACTCCTTCACTTCCTCGCTGTCTGCTATCCTACATCCCCGTCCCTCTCAGCTCGCCCGGCCTGACCTCCTGCTCCATGAACTTTCTCAGCTGCTTCTCGCACTCGATCGACATCTTGATCTGCTGCACCTGCGCCTTGTTCTCCCTCGTCAGCTCCTCCACCTGCTGCATGAGCTGGAGGAGGAGGCTCACAAACTCTCCCAGCATCCTCGACTCCAGCTGCTGGCTCAGCTGCATTGCGCTGGCCGTGGGCATGTTGCCGAGCTGGCGGAGCAGCGCAGGCAGAGCCTCCTCCATCTTCAGCTCCCTGCTCCTGCTGAGTATGTGCTGGCAAATCCCCAGCATCTCCTTCCGCAGGGTAGTCTTCCAGAACCTCAGGGTCTCCACCGTGCCCTTGAGCTGGACTATCTCCACCTGGGAAGGCCGCAAACTGTCCATGAGGTCCATCGACGAGCCCAGCAGCTCCTGGGAGGCTGCCAGGTCAGCCGCCAACTGCTGGAGGTCAGCTCGGATGCGCTTCACCGCTGCCCAGCTCGACGCCTCGCTCTCCCTCGCCCTGCCCAGCTGCACCCTCAGCTCCTCAGCCTCCTGCCCCGCCCGCTCGTCGTCCCCTTCCTCCTTCTCAGCTCGGCCTCGAGCCCCTCAGCTCGGGCCTGGCTCTCCTGCAGCTTTTGGGACAGGAAGTCCTTGACGTGCTCTACCTCAGCCAGGACTTGACACGCGTTTGACTCGCGCTGGGTTGACTCGAGGAGGCGCGAGCGGCACAGGTGGAGGTCCTGCTCAGCCCTCTCTGCGCTCGCGATCCTCTCAGCCTGCAGGGCGATCATTTCCTCTGCTGTTTCTGCACGCACAGAATGTCAGAAGGCAGACGAAGAGACGGAAATGAGAGGAGGAGGATGATAGATGATGATGTGGGGAGGAGGAGGAACAGGCTGGCAATTGAGGATGAAATCACCCAGGCTCTTTCTCAGCTCGTTGTTCTCAGCTCTCAGCTGGGCGATGGAGTGACTATGGCGGCTGTCGAGCTGCCGGCATCTCTTGACCTCCTCGCGCACCATCACCTTGCACTCGAATAAGCTCTCCGCCCTCTGTGACAGCAGCTGCAGGATGTTGTCCAGCTGGAGGGACTGGGTGTCAACGATGTCCAGCTGGTGGAAGAGGTGGGCTGTCATCCGGTCGAAGAACCTCTCACACTGAGCGACCTTCTCGTTCGCCGACTGGATGACAAGGTCCTGACCGTTGAGCTTCTCGTCCAACAGGTTGTCATTCAGCCTCTGAAGCTCGGCAAGCTTGCGCTGCATGCCCCTCTCCTGCTCCTCCCGTCCCTCAAGCTGAGCCCGAAGCGCTTGTAGGCGGAGGAGGAGACCGTTCTCGTACCTCCCGAGCTTGTCCTCCATCCTCTCCAACTCCAGGCTCATCATTGCACAGCTCTGCCTGCTCTCCTCCACCTCGCTCCTCAGGCTGTCTCTGTGCTTGCAGGCGGCCGCAAGCTTCGAGCGCAGCTCGTTGTTTTCCCACTCCAAGTTCATGAGCTTGTCGTTCAAGCCATCGAAGACGGCCAGCATGTCTTGAGACGCCTTATAGAAGCTCTTCATGAAGTTTTCTGCCTCCAGCCTGCTCCTCTCCCGCTGCAGGTTGCTTGCGAACGAGGAAGAGCGGAGGGCAGCCACTTCCTGCTGAGCGGAATGGAGCTGAGAACGAGCCAGCGCAAGGGAAGCCTCAGTCTGCCTCGCCGTCCTCTCCAGCGTCTTCACCTTCTCTAGCAGCAGCAAATTGTTCTCCTTCGCCTCCTCCTGCTCCGACCGCACAGCCTCAAGCTCTGCCTGTAGGGAAGAAACCTTCCTGTCTCTCTCCTTCTCCCTCCCATCTTGCTGCTCCCTACCAGCTCGAGCCTCCTCCTCCTTCAAGTCTAGCAGCCTCCTGCAACGGTCCAGCTCCTCCTCGCACAGCTTCTTCTCAGACACAACGTCGTCAAACTCGGTGTCGAGGAACTGCAACTTGGCCTGGACTTGGTTCCACTGATCTTGAGAGAGGGAGATGTGGTTCTTGAGCGAAGCAACGCTCTCCTTGGCAAGGCTGGTCTCTAGCAGCACGATCTTGGACAGGAACTTGGTCTTGAACTTGTGGTCCTCCAGCTCGTCCTTCATCGCGTGCTTCGAGTTCTCTAGGTTCCAGAAGATCTTGTAGAACTCGTCCTGAGACGACTGGATGTATCTGATCTCCGTCAAGAGGGCCATCAGGCCGGACTTGCAAGATCGAAGACTTTCCGACATCGCCATTAGCTCACTCTCTTTCTCCATCCTCGCCTCGTCCATCTTCTCCATCCTCGCCTCGCTCTCCACCTTCAACACCCTCAGCTGGTCGAGCTCGGCCATCAGCGGGATGTACCGCCGGTCCCTCTCCTCCGCCTCCTCCAGCTGCCTGTGCATCAACTCCAGCTGGTCGCTGCTGCTGGTCGCCTGCTCCTTGTAGTGCGTGCAGGCCTTCTGCATGTCTTCCAGCGCCGTCTTCTCGATGTCCAGGTGCAGCTCGTACTCAGCAATGCTCTGCATCGCCTCCGTGAGCTGCTGCTCCATGATCGAGTGGACCTCTTGCGACCTCACGAGCAGCTTCCTCGTCTCGTACAGCTCGTTCCTCGCCTCGAACGCCTCCTTGGACAGGTTCCCCAGCTCCTGCTGCTGCAGGTGGTGGTGGAGGTAGAGGCTGGAGAAGTCTGACTGTATCAAGCTGGCTTCTTCGGTAAGCCCATGTACGTCAAGGCACAGCGACTGCAGAAGGTTCACAGCTCCTGCTCTCCTCTCCTCCTCCTCCTCCCTCTCAGCCCGGCGAGCTGACTCTAACTGCTCCACCTTGCGACACTTCTCGTCTCTCTGCGTCATCAGCGCCTGAACTGCATCGGACAGGCCGGAGAGCAGCCAGTGTACTTGGAGGACCTCGTTGTGAACCCGCTCGTTGCAGAGGGCGACCTCAAGGTCGACGTCCTCCCTCCTGCTCAGCTCATGGCGGAGCTTGCTGTTGGTGCTGCTCTGACTCTCGATCGTCTTCTCGATGAAGTTCAACCGGTCAAGGAAGTGAGTCTTCACCGACGCAAGATGGTCTGAGGTCTCGAGCACATCGTCGGCCACGAGGTTGTACAGGTCCACGAGCCGGGTCAAGTCAGCCTGCAGCTGCCTATTCTTGCTGCTCTCAGCGTGTATCCTGACGTCCTTGGTCTCTGCCTCCCTGCGGGAGTCAATCAGGAGGTCCTGGAGGATGCCGATGCGGTGGGTCATGTCGGCGTGTTGCGGGACCAGCAGGTCAGCCGCCTCCTGAGCGCGGACGAGGATCTGACTTGTGCCCTCGAGGACCCGCAGCACGTTGCCGATCCCCTCACCCTCCCGCTCGATCATGTTGTCATAGATGCTGATCAGTGCTCTCCTCGCTTCATCAGAGTCCCTCAGGGCCGTTTTCTCCTCCTCCTGTGCAGTGAAAGCCTCCAGCAGCCTCTTGCTTTCAGCTTGCAAGCTGCTGACGACTTCCTTCAACCCTCCCTCGCACTTGCCGAGCTCCTCCACCAATGCCGAGGCCTCATGGGCCACGGTTTCTCGCAGAGTCTTCATCCCCACAACCTCCTCTTCCAAGGAAGCGCATCGGCCTCTGAGTGCGAAGTTCCCATCCTCCAGGCTCTCTACCGTCTCCTGAAGTTCATTGAGCTGCCTGTGGATCGCGCGGTGGTGGTCCAGCGCCAGGTTCTTCTCGACCTTGAGATTGTTCATCTCTACAACCAGGTCGCTGATGATTTTCTGCTTCATCTGATACTGCTCGTCCGACTCGCAAAGCCTCCTCCTCATTATCTCGACCTCATCCTCCAGCGCCGCTCCCTCCATCACCAGCTGCTTGTAGCTGACGTTGAACTCTTGCTGCATCTCTGCAATCTCCTGGTATTCAGCTCGAGCAGCTACGATCTCCTCGGACAGTCGCCTGTTCTCGTCCGCCAGATTTTCTTTCTCCTGCTCCATAGCAAGATACTTCTTGTACAGCACCGCTAGTTGCTCCGCCTGCTTGGAAGCCTCCTCCTCTGCACTTGTCTTGCCGTCCTCAAGGATCTGTACGTCAACCGAGGCCTTATCAAGATCGCTGCTAAGGCGGCGAACGTCGTCGACAAGTCCCGAGCTCAGAGTGTTCGCCTGCTGCCTGATAGACTGCAAGTGAAAATTCTCTTGACCGACCCGCTCAAGTTGCTCCCTTGCCTGGCTAAGATCTCGCTCGAGAGTTTGTTTTGCCTCCCTCTCACTTTGGAGGCTTCGCTTCTCCCCTGCAAGGTCCCTGGAAAGGTTCACCACACCTGACTGCAGTCGGAGCAAAACATGCTCTTGGCCTCGAACAAGCTGCTCAGCGCGTGAAATGGCCCGGCCAGCCTCATTGCCATCCGTCTCCATCGACGAGAAGTTGTCTGCCAGCCTCTTCGACAGCATCTCCACCTGCTCCGAGATATCCTGCAGAGTTTGACAGAGCGCGTTGGCAATGAGCTGGACGCGATAGGAGGAGGTCTCGTTCTGCACCAGTCGCATGGTCGAGTCGTTCAGTCGCTCTTCGAGAAGTCTCCCGAATTTCTGTGCATCGAGGTACTTTGCTCTGACATGTTGCTGGTTCTCCTCCAGGCGTCGCAGGTTCAGCTCGAGGTTGTCGACGGTTTCTTCCATCATGGCGGAAGACAGCTGGGCTTGCTCAAGTGCCTGCTGCTGGGTTGAGAGGGACAGCTCTAACTCAGATATTCTTCTTTCTGCCATGCGCAGCTTGTCTCTCATCTCAACGTTCTGATGATTTAGCGTCCCAACAGAGGTTTCATTCAGTATGAGTTGTGACCGGATTTCTTCCAGTTGTCTTCGGCTCTCCTTCTCCATGTTCGTTTTATCTTCTCTAAAGACGTCAAGTTCAGAGTTCAGTTTATGAGTCTTCGCCATCTCATCGAACAGAGCTTGTCTCAAGACTTTCTCTCTTCCCATCTCTTCAAATGACTCGATGTGCAAAGCTTCTGTCGTGCTAACGAAATCTTCGCTGATTGAAAGGATTTCTTTTTGAAGGAATGACCTGATCTCTGATATCTTTGTGACGCTTTCCGATTGTACAAGGGAGAAGGAAGCAACTTTCCGTGACAAGTCGCGTTTTGAAGCTTCCAATGATTTGATGTGAGACGACAGGTTGGAGGTTGAGAGCAAAACAATCTCAATCTTGTTCTCAAGCAAGGCAGAAGCTTCTTCCGCAGATTTGACAGCCCTTGTGAGCTCTTTGATGATTTTGACTTGCATTTCAATGTTTCGGTTTAACTCTAAGATTTCTCGTTGCTGCATATCTGTCTTTTTTGTCAATTCGTTATTCTCTGATCGAGCCTTATTCAACATACGCAAGAGGTCCAATGCTTGCTTTTCAGTTTCCTGTTGTTGCGACGAGATTGTTGATAGCATCTCTTCGAACTCTTTCATGTAAATTTCTGAATGTGACTCCCAAGTATTAGATTGTCTCCTCATGTGCTTGATCATATAATCTAACTCCGTTGCTTTCAAACTTTCATCAACGCGGGATTTCAAAGATTTCACTTCTTCTCTCAGAGATTCATTCTCTGATTTCAATCGAACATTGTCGTTCAAAATTGAAGTGTTTTGCTGTTTCAATTCGTTGAGAGTTTGCTTCAATTTACCAAGTTCTTCCCGCATGTTCGAAGTTTGCTGTGTTAGCGTTCTCTTCTCTTCTTCGGAATGTAACAATCGCTCCCTGTAACTTTCCAAATCTGTTTCATAAGATTTGACCTGCGTACAAATGGTCATGAGGCTGCAATCTACATATCAAGTTCACATTACATTGCTGTTGTACAAAACGGTGTCGTCGGCTATGCTGTCAAGTCGATCTTCTAGGATCTTACTTCTCCGCTGTTCATCAAACAATCTGACATTCAGCTCTGAGATGTTGTCTCGCAAGGAGATGACAAACGCTCCAACGGCCCTTATTTGGACGTGTAAAGGCAACACCTTGGAGTTGTGTGAATCCAGTGAATCAAGCTGGTCAATATCATGGATGACACTCTCCACCGCCTCCTTGATCAGAGCAACCTCCTCGTCCGACTGGTCTTGTGTCCCCATCTTCTGTTTCAGCTCAAGATTTTCCCTCTCGAGCTCGAAAATGTCATCCCTAGCCTGCTGCAGCAAAGACAAGCACTCGTCCCGCTCCCCAAGAAGCTGTTCCCACCTCCTCTGCGAAAACTGCAGCGCTACACCCGGCCCCGAAGAGCTGTCGTCGAGGATGTCCGAGTGTTTCACCGAGCGAGGGAGTGTAAGGGCTTCCGACAGATCTCTCGACGCAGCTAGCGGGCTGGGGGTATTGAAGTCTTCTCGTCGCATAGGATGCCCGAGTTTTGCCTCGGGGCTGGTGAAGGGATGATAGTTGTCTACCCGCCATGTCGACTTCCATGTCTTGTCAACGGCATCGTCGTAATTCTGATGCACTCGCCGTGAACCGCTCTGAGGAGGATCGTACGGGTCCATGAGCCTGGGAAAGAAAAGGCAGGTCAACAAGTCAACACAAATACACCGAAGCACTTCGATGACATGAGGCAATTTCTGCTTCTTGTGCACATTTATCAAGAGAAACAGAAACCCCGACAACAGAAAACTCTTTCGCATCATGAATTTAACTTGAAAGATTTGCGTACTAAAAGCGAGAGGGCGCATGAATATCAGCGCGGAGTAGTTATGGAAGATTGTGAAACAATCATGGTTTCTTGAGCCAGAGCATACACTTTCCTCTTCATCCTGCTCCTCCTACTTCTCCCTTGCTCTTCTTCTCCTCTCTCAGCTTCTCAGTCCTTGCGCTACAAGCCTTCCCCACCTCGCCATTTTGCACTGCACTTCAAATCCTTTCCTCACCCCACCCCATTCAGCTTCACCCTACCCCATTGTTCCATAACCCCATTCTCCTCAAAGATTACTCCTAATACCCCTTCTTTCATTAACGAGTAACCCCACCCTTTTAGATGTCGCTTGCAGCAGATGGACTGTCCACCCCAACAATTAGTGAAGTACCCCCTTGAGTATCTGATTGGTAAATCACTACGACTTACCTACGAGCAGATCCCAAAGACTTGTTCCTAGGACCTCACACTCCCTTACCACCCCTTCATTTCCACACATGTACCCCCCCTTTCATGGCGATGAAATAAACTATCACCCTAGTACGGGACTTTGTAACTGTAGCCTACGAAAAAGGTTCTAGCCAAGGTACTAGTAGGCTATAACATAAAAGTGCATTCCTTGGAGGAGGTCCTACGAACTGTCCTATCGAGGTCATATCAGCGGTAGTTGAGTCGGTCACCGTGACTGTCAAAAGGGCTCACTGCTTGTTTCCGAAGGCGTTAGTTCCCCGGAGTCCGGGCCCGGCTTCGCCGCCAGTCACTCAACGGTGGAGGGGCGCCCCGGCAGCGCCCCGGCTCAACGCCACCTGGCACACTGGCCTGCTGCAGCCTCGGAGGCTCAGGATTGTCACCGCCGTGAAGTGAACTTGCCGCGCTCAGCGGCTAGTATGCCCGCCGGGCCTCACGGTGTGCCGGGGTCACCCGGCGGGCCGCCGCGCCCGGCCCGCGATTCGCCGGAGTCGCCCGGGGCGGCCGGCCGCACGGTGCGCGGCACGCCGGGTGGCACGCGCCGGAACGGCTCAGCCCGCGGCTATCACGGCGATGATGAGTCTGAGTCTCAAACGCCTTTCACAGAGTCAGGAGAGTAGAGGAGGCTTCTCAAACTACTGTGACTTTCCAAGTCTCAGGCGGTCCCCGGCCAGCAGAAGCTGGCTCGAAAAGGTTCTGCAGTGATTCAATTTACCATGTGCTTGAATCTGAATCCTCACTGTGATCCTCGGGCTCGCCGCGGCGGCGGGAGCAGTCACAACTCACTGGAGTCTAACTAACTTAACTTAAAGGGGGGGATCTGGCATTGATGGATCGAAGATCGTGTTGTAGCTACGTCGACTTACTGCTGTCAGATGAGTCGTAGCCCTTGTCGATTCTCCTCAGCTCGCCACTCGCCATCCACTGATGGCGGAAGCGACCACCTGCGTCGTCGGCTGTCAAGATTATGTTGCATCCTGCCGGAGGCCACAAAGACGCGCGGCCGTCTGTACTCAGGCACATATACCCATCAAAGTCAAATGCCGCATTCTCCTCGGGAGGGTCCTTGGTCTTGCCATATATCTTACATTCCTTCAGTCTTGGCTTTTCGGTTTTCCATCCTGATGTCATGTCTTGTACGACTCGATCGAGCGCTTTGTACAGGCTTTTCTCCTTCATCATTACATACATCCAGGGGATGAAACATACACCCATTGTGACGCAGCACAGAAACCGAGAGCCGCTCGATGTTTTACCGTCCATTGCATTCTCATCGAAGAACTGCTGTATTGCTGCAATGAAATCATAGTACTGCTTCTCGGTACAGATCGGTGAAAGCTTCGGGGAATACGGGGGATATTTTTGCTCGCCCTTTACGTTGAATCCGATGTTGATCCAGACTTCTGCTACACCTTCTTTTGACGTGCTCATCGGAGCCAAGAAAGCTCTCCCGGAGCTCAGGTATGGACATGTTGGCATGATCTAAGAGCTTCTGCTTGTTGCCAAGAAGCAACAACCACTCGAACCTGACTGGGGGGAAGGGAGCAGCCCTTTCAAAGGGAGGGGTGTTCAAGTTCATCCATCCTTTGGAGGGGTAATGGAAGTTGACAAAAGTGTCCGGGCCACCCGGTGACCGTGCCGCCGCAGTGGCCACTGCGCGGCCGCAGTCCGTGACAGTTACCGTACGCGGTGCCAGCCGGCCCGGGCCCGGCCGTGACTCGGACCGGCCCCGCCGGGCTGAACCAATAATCTTTCGAGTCCCGGTGCCGGGCGCGGCCAGCCTCACCCGGGCCGGGCTCAGTGGCCCAGTGACCGCTAAGTTGCAACTCAGTGCGGCAACGAACCCGGGACCGTACGGTACCGAAAGACCGTACAGGGAGGCCTTGAGCTGACGAAAGCTCGGATCCTGGACCCGATGCGTTTACGTACAAGTCGGATCACCTGAGACGTCTTGCGAGGCCGCGGCCCGGAGAGACCATCCAGCGCTGCCGTCACAAGTTCCTTGTTCGCCGAGCGATCCGCCAACCACCACAGAACTTCGGAAAGCGCAACGCATCATCCTGCAAGAGGCCATCAATGCTCAGCTGGCGATGATGGGAAGAAACTTGAAAGGCCTTTGGCGGGACTCCCGGACGTGCTGAGCATATGCATTACGATGATCATCGGATGCCCTCGGATCTTCCGCTGTGCTGCTGCTTGCAGTTTGCTCCTCCAGTCGCCTGCAGTTGCGGAAGTTCAAAGTCCCCCACATGATGATCATCAGGGCCGCATGTTGGGAAACGTTCTGTCGGGTGCCGGGTACGCCTTGCACATGGACGCGGCATCTCACTCCTGAATCTTTGATGAGGGTACTGAGGACGCTATTGCACTTCTCAGTCGCGGCGATCAGTGGCCCGTCCGATCAACTTTGTCGGGAGCCACTTTAAATGTTTGCAAGGTGAGGTCGTGAATGTTTATAAGGGATCGGTGGGTAGAGGGGGTAGTGGGGGTAGTGGGGGTAGTGGGGGTACCGTCAGGAGGGTGCAACCAAGCAGTTTGACCGTCGGTCACCTATGGTTTTGGAGATATTCTTCCAAATTATTGAAAAGTATTCTGTATATTGAAATTTTCACTTTAAATGATTAAATTTTTCACTCAAAAAAATTCCCCCACCCTTCCAATCCCCGAGCTTCTCTCACTATACCCCCGTCATTCCCCATATTCAGTAAAGTACCCCTCTTTATTCCCTTAGACTACCCACCCATTTCTACCACGTTTCCCCGTTTCCCCGAGTGACCCCCGTTGCTGACCAACCTTCTCTCCCCAGTGTGACCCCCACCCTCATAAATCTCGGTTGAATGGGACCTGTGTACCCCACCCCCTTCGACCATGGTTTGCTTGTAAGCCTACCCCCTTCGTGATTACGCCTCCGGCAAATAAACTTTTCACTGACAGCATTCTATTACTGAAAGTTGAAATTTATAGACAATATATTAGCTTAAAAGTTGAAAATTGTGGTCTTGAATAAATAAATTTGATACATGTTGAAACAACAACTTTATTTTGTGAAAATGTTTATGCTGTTTTCTCTCCTTGGTGGGGTGATATACCCGACCTGGACTTCGACATTGTTTGCCTAGTCAAATCAACCCCTTCTCTCCCCAAGTTTTAAAAAGTACTCCCACCCACCCCTTTTAAAAAGCACCCCACCTTTATTTCATAGGGTGCTCCATAACCCGGTGGAATAGTTCATTCGAAACCTTTAATCACAGGGGTGGGTATATGTACCCACCCCTACCAACTACCCCTCGTGAAATCGGGAAGGGCGAGCCCAGACTCCCCGACAGGAGGAAGAGGAAGATGATGACGAGGGGGAACGGGAGGGGAACGGGAGGGGAACGGGAGAGGTTGGGGGGATAAGGAGCACGAGGAAGGGAGAGAAGGGGAAGAGCAGGGAGGGAGGGAGGAGGGAAGGGGGCAAAGCAGGAAGGGAGAGAGGGAGGGGATCGTAGACACATTGGGTAGGTTAATCGTACGGATTGTGGGAGTGAGGAGGCTAAATACAACCACGCTGCTATAGCTCGCACCTCAACTAGAAGGAAACAGGCGGAGAATATGGGAAGGAGCCGAAAGTTTCTTCAAGTGATCCACCAAAGTTTTTGATAGGATCCAAAGGTCAACAGATCAGGGCGTGATAGATCGCCAGAACAGCAAATGGGAATCTGAAACTTGGTAGCATCAATTATCAAGAAAGATTTTCTATCCCCCAGCAGTTGAATTAGGAAGAAACCTCTACTTGGGTCTCCCAAGTTTCTCAAGGCTGTTGAGCAGATGCCGTCTCTCGCCCAGAACAAGGACGACGATGGACTTCTCTCGTCCAAGGTGAACAAGACACTTCGCTGCTGGCTCCTCTATCCTCACGTGCTCTTTCAAACAGGAAGCAGCACACAACAATCATAGCTCTTCGCACTCGAGGTAGTTGCGCTGCGCTGGGGAAGTGCCTGTCCTGATGATATAGCAGGTCGAACAACCCCGACGCGTCCTCGCTCATGGAAATCATCTCCAACCCGACCAAGGCTCAGCTCTACACCACCGTTGGCCCTGTTTCGCTCATCCAAGCTCTGTCCGACAACATCCGCCCTGCTCTGCTCGTCGCGGTTGTCTCCGTCTCCCTCTCCATCGGCCTCGGCATTGCCAGTGGCTCGACGCCACTAGCAGGACTCCGCACGGCGATCTGGGGGGGACTTTTCTGCGGTGCCTTCGGTTCTTCTCCTTTCAATATCATCGGGCCAGCTGGAGCGCTTGCTGGGCAACTCTCCAAGTACTCGTCGATGTGGGGGCCTGACGTGCTGCCATGGATCGCCATTTGCAGCGGGTTCCTGTGCGCCGTTATCCTCAAGTTGAACCTGCAGAAGTACATGCTGTTCATGCCTAAGAGCGTGTTCGAGGGCTTCACGGTCGCCGTGGCCTTCGGGATCGGGTTGAAGCAGATCAACTACGCCTGCGGCCTGCACGGCCTGCACAAACACGAGCACTTCATCGAGAACGTGTGGGAGTCCATCAAGAACTTGCCGCACGCTCGGATGTCTTCTCTCGCTCTCTTCGTCCCGGAGACCATCCTCCTCTTCGTCCTCCTGAAGAAGGTGCCCAAGATCCCCTGGATGGTGATTGTGCCGTTCGTCACCATCATCTTCGGCTATGTAGCATCTGGAGAGTCCGAAGGGTTTTCTCTCGACACCCTCAAGACTGAGTTCGGCGTGTTGACCAACGACATCATCGAGTTTCCGGATTTCTCGGTCGTCGAAAGGATCGCGAGCAACTTTGGCGCCTTCGCCTCCGCCTGCTTCTCTGTGTGCCTGGTTGCCGTCCTTGAGACGTTGATCAGCGCCAAGATAGCCGACTTCCGCGCTCACGACAACTTCCTGGGATCCTTCGACGAGGGGAAGGAGCTGCGGGCGCTTGCTGGCGCGCAGGTCCTCTGCGGCCTCCTCGGGGGTCTTCCTCCTACCGGCGTTTTTGTGCGTACCAGCGTGAACCAACTCAACGGGGCGACGCACGTGCTGTCACAATGGATGAACGCCATCTTCGTCATGATCATCACGGTAGCGACTATGCCTGTGTTCTCCTACCTGCCCCTCTCCTCCGTCGCCTCTATCCTCGTCGTCAGTTCCGTCCGCATGATCCCGATGCACTTCCTCCACGACCTCTGGAAGAACGACAAGAGCCACTTCGGCCTCTGCATGTTCACCGCGGCCGTGGGGATCTGGTCGGATCCTGTTGAAGGCCTGCTGGGTGGGATGCTGATCGCTTTCCTCATGGGCGCCATGAGCTCCAACACAGCGAGCGGTGCCGTGGTGATGGAGAAGTCGGAGGTGATGTTGGACGGGGAGGAGCTTCCTGCGGGGATCGTTCAGATCACTGGGCCAGTCACGTACGCCAACGGGGAGGGAATCATGAAGCGGTCACTGGACGTCATGGAGTTCAGCCCAGTCATGTGCGTCCTCGACCTCTCGCGGGTGACTGAGATGGACATGGATGGGGGTGAAGCCGTCGAGCGCCTCGTCGTGTCCCTGCAGAAGAGGATGAAGAGCAACGCCCAGAACTTGACCGGAGGAGGGCAGGTGATAATTTTGCCTTGTCTTCCTTCTCTCGCGCCACTCCTCTTCTCAAACTTAGTTCTTCCCAACGTCCTTTCCTCATCTTCATTCTCGTCCTGGTCGTTGTCCCCTTGCTGACAAGTCAACCAACAGGTCGCGTTCGTCGGCATCCCCAACAGCATCAAGCATGTTTTGCATTCTCAGCATCACATCAAGGAGGTGCTCGAAGGAAGAGACAGCTTCTCCACCGTCGCCGGAGCTCTCAAGCAGATGTCACACGCCATGTCCCGTGAGATCAATTTGGTCGTTGACCAGTCAGAGACGTTGATCACCGCGAGTTTCAACTCTCAGTGCATGGGAGGCTCGGACTATCCTGTAGAGACCAAGCAGTAACGCGGCAGCGAGCCCGGTCGCAAGATGCCCCCGGCATGTCGTCGAGGCCGTCAGCCTGCCTCTCGTGTTGGGCCCTCTCCTCGTTGTGTTGTTCCATGTCAGTCTGTATCGCCTCATGTCTTGTACCATAAGCTCCCTCTCTCCCTAAGAGAACCTTCTACACCCTCCTCCAGTACCAGATAATCCTTATGATTGAACAAACGAACCCTCTTTGATTACTTTGCCGCCAACCCCTTGCGGATCTTTCCTTTCCTGCGTGGTCGGGATTCCAGTACTGCCCAATGGTCATCATGCAGGCAAACAAGCAGCTGCCTGCTCTCACCGTCAAGGTTGATGCCGGCCTCTGTACTGTTGGTGCGCAGGGACTCGTACCGAATGACAAGCTCCTTGAACTTCTCAGCGACTTGAAGCTCCTAAGGCACCAATCACGACGTTCTCAGGGCTACAAGTGTGTGCACACGTTGATTTGAAACATCTTGTAGAGTAAGGGATCATCCTCCCTGGTGATGGGGATCAAATTCCTCTTGTCCGCAACCTGGAATGCAACAGTTCCAGGTTGCAGTGAGCGACGGGCAAGACGAGGTCATGACAACCTGCTCTACGGTGCGATCCAGCCTCGGGTGGATGACGTTTCCTGTCTCTTCCAACTTTCCCGGCCGACATCGCAACTCTGTCCATCACATTTCAGGCCATCAACAGCAAAGCGACTTGATTTTCTGCTCACTTTCTTGCTCCCAGCAGTCTCCGTGCTCCCACCACATGCTCCCATAGATCTCATTGTTGAGCAGGACCATCTCAGCCTGCTTGGAGTTCTGGCCTGTTGAAAAATGACTCGTCAGGGCCCGGGCGTATCTTCCTTTTGATCCTCTTTCAACAAAGACAGCCGCATCATCGCTCCCCCTTTTCATCGTCGTCAAACTTCTGATCCTCTCCTCGATTTTGATCCCAAAGATTCCTCCACTCACCGCAGTAGAACGCCTCGAAGTTGTTGTTAAAGAATTTACACTCCCTCACTCTCGCTCGGGCAGAGTCGTCCACACCGACCCCGTAGTTGGTGTAATGGAACTCGCAGCTACAGGAGGCTCGTCACCGAGGTAGTAGGAGAGGACAGGAAACTATCTCATCCCACCCTTCCAGTTCTCCGTAGGATCCGCCGACGAAGGAAGCCCCTCCCCCTGTCCGCTCATCATCGCCCCAGCAGTCTGTCGTAGCAAGCTACTCACCTCCGTTGAAGCCACAGTCTTCCATCTTACACTTCTCCACGTGAACCTCCGCTCGGTCGCATCCAACTATCCCCTCTTCGCATCCATCAGCCATGGCCTTCTCTGCCCTTCCTTATCCAGTCTTTCTCTCCTCTGCTCTGCCCTTCCATCCTCTCCTCTCCCTTTCTCTCCTCTGCTCTCTTTCGCCCTGCTCCCCTCGTCTGGTCTCGTCTCTGGTATCTTCATTTCATCTCTCCTTCCCCTCCCCTCCTTGCCCCCTCCCATCCCCTCCTCCACTTCTCACCTGCAGCCATCCGACAGTCTTGCTGGAGATGATTCGGAAAGTTTTCTACCCACCATTGATTCTTCCCACACCCGAGTCCTCCTACAACTCCCTCAATCCTCTCCTCCACCCCGCTCTCCTCTTCACCGCAGATGCTTGAGGACAGGATGACCTCGGCCCACCTCTCACACAGCAGGGCTGTTCCTCCAGCACTTCGGATCTAGAGGTAGACGGAGTCATCGAACGTACATGAAGACACAACCGGCAGGCAAGCAGGACAAGCCACTCAGACCGAACTCATCACTCCTCTCGATCGCAGTATCTTGTGACATCAATCCATGGAAGCAAACAAGCTCGTAGTCGATCACCTCGCAGCTGTTGATCACCCAGGGCCCACTCTGGAAAGGATCGACTCGAAGTCAGCACAGACCACATCCCTCCATCGCGTGTCTCCCATCTTCTCCTTCCTCTCTGCCTCCTCACCTCAATCCTGATCGTTGCCAACGCTTCATCCGGCGGAGGCTTCAGCTCCACAGGACATCCCTCAGCGGTCCTTCCACAGGGACCGACGAAATTTCGCAGCAGTGGGCTGTACCATCGTTGAAGTCAGCAGGAAGGTAAGTTGATTGCAGGAAGCAAGAAACAACATGACTTGGAGGGGGGGAGGGGGGGGGGGACAGAAAGAATGAGTTGACAAGTAGACAGAAGAATGAGTAGGACAAGACGAGACAGGAGAGCGAGGAGAGCGAGAAGGGAGATCGCGATTGATGAGCAGCAGGCTGGAAGTGACGAGGTCCTGGGGAGACACGAAGGAACCGGAGCCTAGTCTCAACCTGACGTAATCCGAGTAAGGGCCAAAAGTTCCACCAGGCCATCGTGGGTCCTTCCTCAAACCTCCTGGACCTGCACAAGTTCAGCACAGAGCAACGGCTGCCTCTCTTCCTCTCCTCCCCTGCTTGTCTCCTACCTGCTTCGAAGACGCAGCAGAGACCCTTGATCGATCCCTCGCTTCCTTCCCGCAGCTCCCATTGTCCCCAAACTCTCGCCGTTCGCGTGCCTGGCTGGTTTCATCCCCCGCCAATCCTCCCCTTGCTCTTCCTCCTCTTTCTGCCCCGCCTCCCATCCCCCCAACCTCCTCTCAACCAAATCCATTTGCCCATTACCTGCAATGTTCACCTTCGTATTGTTTTCTTTGGGGATGATAGGCCTGTACAACGAATAGAGTTTGAGCAGGAGGCCAAGAAACATCCTCTCTTTACCCATCACGGTATCCTATGTCTTCATCGAATTCATTGAAGACTCTTCTAGTCCGCAGGCTGCAAACAACTCAACATCTGCGGCTCTTGCTCATCCCTCCCTTCCTCCCTACCGACCTGCGCCCAAACCCTCGAAAGACTTTCCCAAGGTTCTTTTTCCTCTTGTCCCAATCCACCACCTCGTCGTCGTATCCCGGCTCCTTGACTCTCTCCCCCACTTGCAGCAGCTGGTGCTCGTACATGTCGTTGTAGGAGTACAGGTTCGCTATCCGGTCCCCACTGACGTGCAACCTGGCACTTGTCTCCTCTGCTACCCGCAGCCCAGCAGCAAGGGAGTACTTATCGGGAACTAGAATGTCTCCCTCCTCAGCTGGAAAGTTCCTCCTCAAGGAGATCGGGCCCCTTGTCTCCAGGGGAGAAACAGGAAAGTCGAGACCCCATGAAAAACCTGGATGCTTGACTGCCAGCCAGTCCTCCTCCTCAGCCGGCAGCCAGTATCTCAGGTCATTCTGTTCCCTTCCGAGGATGGAGGAGTGTGGGAATTCGATGCCCTCGTGTTGTGACAGCATGTCGTCATCGGTGGAGGGATCGATGGAGCACAGCCCAGCTGTAAGGAAATGTCGATCAGGCAGACAAGGGAATTGCCGGGGCGGAAGGAGGAGAAAGGGGAGGAGGAAGGGCACAGAGCGCAGGAGGAAGGAGGAGGAGACAGGAAGAGGGAGGTAGAGGGAGGAGGAGAGAAGGAGAGAGGAGGAGAGAGGAGGAGACAGGTAGAGGGAGGAGGAGACAGGAGGATACAGGAAGAGGGAGGTAGAGGGAGGCGGAGGAGAAGGTAATACCATCGTCCCTCGAGTCGCACCAAGTCTCGTTGAAACTGGAGAGTTTCTCGGACATGGAGATCCTGCGTTGGAACCTCCGGCTGACCCATCGGCATCGTCCACAGCCATCGCCCCCAAGGCACCTCTCTGCGCGGTCATATTAGTGTTCAACCCTCCACCCTCCCTCCCTCCTCGCCCTGCGCCAGGGCACCTGCTGAAGAAATCATCTCCTCCAGCGGATCTCCATTGATCTCGAGCTCTTTCAGACGCGCAGCCCTCACGTACAAGATCAGCTGAGAAAGACCGTCAGGTGAAGGGACGGTCTTCTCAGCTCATCGACCGGGTTGGTTCCGATGACAGGAGGGAGCTCTTCCTCCGGGACCCTCTTGTAAGGGGGGAACTTTCCTTCCTTCAGCTGCTTCCTGTGAGTCTCCGTTATCTTCAAGTCCAATCAGTCTCGCCACCAAGCAGGTCGTTTGTCTTATCACCCCGTTGTTGAATGTCCCACTCAGAAGAGCTTTCTTCTCTTCCCACATTTCCCTCATTAGATCATTGAGAAAGTCCTGCTGAGCCTCGGAAGGGGGCTTATGGAAGGGGTCGTAGCTGCTGTTGTACAGCACTTGTTGGACGTTGTTCCCTGAGATCCAAGACTCAGGCTGAGGAATGCAGGAGGAGCGAAGAGAAAGCAAATGTAAGCGGTAGGGGAACACATGAGGGAGTGATCGCAGCAAAGAGGCAAAGGGACGAGGAAAGGAAAGCAACAGGAGGAAAGCATCTTACAATCCTCCTCTTCCAACATGGGGATTCGGACTACATTCGGATTCTCAGCTTCTCCTGCGTCCTGCATGCATGCTTCGATAGGATCTGCTGCTGTTGGTCTGGGGAGTAGCGATGCGTCATCAACAACGAGGTGCGGAGAAGTCATACTTGAACTGATCGTTGGGTTCTTCTCTCAAGTCTTGTTATGCAAGTAAGATACAGCAAGCTCTTTGACCCTGCCAGCCCACCTTCTATGATCTTCTTGCCCATCTTCTGATCAAACGATCGAAACACATCCTTCGACTTCAACTTCTTCTCCTGACAAGAGTATCAGATGGCCAGCGATGCTGGAGCCTCGTTTACTTGTGGATCGCAGGTTTGTGCATTGAGCTCCGCTAGCTTCTGCTCAAATTCCTGCCATGACCTCTGAGCAACCTCGTAGGTTGAGGTCTTGAAGTTCAAACCGCCAAGACATCTTCATATCGTTCTTCGCTGCCAGCTCCCCTTAGATTGTGACGAAAGGCACCTAAGGCGTTCAAGATTGGATGCTTGGGTCGCACGCAGTTGTCTTGCAACAACCTCGACAGCCTGGACTGGATCGGAAGCGAAAGCACAAGCACCCAGCAGAGCAAACAGCGATGTGCCATGAAGGAGAAAGGAGACATCACCACGAACCTTCCAGCAGGCGAATCGTCCTTGTCTGCCGCTTCCTCACAGCAAAGACGGGATTCCTCCTCTCTGCAACTCCCCTCTGCTGATCTCTCTCGACTTCCACCTGTCTTGCTCCTTCATCGTCAGGGTCAAGGCTCCCGCAGTAGCCGCATCGCAGTGCTCAACTTCGCCACTCAGCGGCTGCCCGAGTAGGGGGGTCCGAGCCTCCGGGCCCCGGGCCCGGCCCGGGGGCCGCTACGGTGGGCCCCGGCTCAGTAGTGGCTCAAGTTACTCAAAGAGTCAGCCAAAACAAATCAGGACCGTAGGCGTTCTTAGCTGCCTTTACTCAAAGTTAAGTTAAAAATCAGTACTAGCAGTTCTTAGCTGAGTTCCTAGCTAACGAGTACCGGTCCGATGGAGCAGTACCGGTACTTTAACAGGGCAGAAGTGGGGTGAGAGAGCACTGTAGCTGAGACTCTCATTCGATACAGGGTGGGTACTACCGGGGGTCGGGCTTCTCCCCCATTTAAAGAGGCAGCAGGGTTACCACGGAGGGAGCAGCAGGATGTGCTGTACTGTGCGTTGCAGTCATGTAGCGTTAGTTAGAGATCTGTGATGAAGGAGGAGGGAGGGAGAAATACAAGCGTCATCGTGGTATCAGCGCATTCCTTGTGGTATCAGCGCATTCCTTGTGGTATCAGCGCATTCCAGTGTGAGAAGTTTGACACAGGGAGTTGTCTGACACTGGGAGTCATTTTCGCGCGACTGAACTTTTTGTCATCAGACCTCAACAACACATGCCACGGAAGGAGAAAGCTTCAAAAAGAAATCAAGAGGACAGCAGCTCGTCCTCAGGCAAGAAGGCTCGAGTTGAACCAAAACCCGATGAGGACAAGGTAAGACTCTTCATACGATTCCACCGATGTAACGCATTTTCTGATTTTGGGTACGATGCAGTGTGCAAAATGTATGCGATATTTTCCTACCTATGATTACCAGCCAACTAAAACAGAGTGCTGTGGAATGCCAATCCAAGGAAAACATTGTGTCAAATGCGGTCCATACACAAGGATAGCCGCATGTCTCAAGAACGGTGACTGCTTGGGGTATTGCGGAGGGGACGAGAAGTGCGTGTATTGCAGGAGACATCGGCCTCAGTGCGAGCTCTGCCCAATCTGCGACGGATGCGACCATTGTTGTTACGGCGGCTTGGATGCCAAAGAATGTAAAAAGTGCAAATATCAGCGAGCGCCGTGTGAGATCTGTTCTGGCTGCGGCAGCTGCGTTTTCTCCTGCTGCAAATGCAAAAAGTGCCCCGACTGCGACAGAAGTTATTCAGAGGGGCCGAAAAGAGATGATGATGAAACTTGTCAATGCGATTCAAGAGACTTCATCTTGCTGAGGTTCAAGCCAAACTCTCATCGCTGAAGTCTGCTATGGTAAAACTTCTCCTTTGGCCATGCTTGCAGCTCATGCCCCGTGTTGACTCCCAGGTGCAGGATGAGTTCTGTACTCCTGCCCATCCTTGTGTCAGAACTCATAGGAACCGAGCTCTCACCAGATGAATCGGATCTAGCTCTAAGATAGGGAGAGCCATCACAGCTACGGTGATGACAACCTCTACATCAACAACAGAGCAAGTCAAGACTACAGCAAGAAGGACGGGTCTGTTATCCTCAAGCTCATGGCAAGAGGTTTGGGGAAAGAAGAGCCACGAGGAAAGGAGTTCTTGCTCACCAGGGCCCGCTGTGTGCCCGCTCTCTCTCTCTCTCTCTCTCTCTCTCTCTCTCTCTCTCTCTCTCTCTGTGTGTGTGTGTGTGTGTGTGTGTGTGTGTGTGACGGTGTGTGTGTGTGACGGTGTGTGTGTGTGTGCGTTACAAGTAAGAAAGTTTCCATGAGTACTAGAGTGCCTGTTTCCGTTACGGTTTATCGGAGCTTGCTAATCAATATAGTACGGCCCACAGCAAACATCATATCATGATGATGATACTATCAGTCTACCTTGCGTGACCGGGCCGTCTTGGCACGGGCGGCACGACACTGACACTCGGAGGTTCCGACGGCGAGGCTGAAATCTTCGCACTGCCGCAAGCCTCGAACCGTTTCAAGACATCATATGATTTGTCATGTTGGAGCCTCCGATCCAACAGTACCCGGCCGCCCAGCCGGGGTTCACTCAGTGAGTCACCCGGTGACCGGTGCCCGGCCAGGCCGAGGCTGCCGATTCAAACTGAACGTACTACTACAGGCTACGGAACTAGAAAACTTGACTATAAAATTGAGTGATAAGGCTAGAACTTGAGCCTTGGGGAAGTCCGGGGATCACGCGATTAAAAACATTGTAAGCGATTATAAGTGTTTTAGCCTTTGCAGGAACGGTACTCCGACCCCTACCCCCAGTAACCTGGACGGGATACGAGGGGTTGTGGTACGACAAGAGACTAGCCTAGTAGGAGTGAGCCCTCATTGATCAGCGAGGAAGCGGCCGGGAGGGAGGAACCCGAGCAAGGCAATGGGAGGAGGGAGAGGAGGAGGGAGAGGAGGGGGGAGATAACGAGTACAGGACTTAAGGGAGTGCAGAGATGGACAGATTCAATCTTCACTTTGTTGACTCGAACTGACGTATCTACTTATCAGCAGGATGGGAAGACCAACAGGATCTGAAGACAACAAAATCATTGGGCTGTTCTTTGCAAAGACGGTAAAAATGCTGCTGAATCTTAGGGGAAACAAATTGATTGCAATCCAGGTTTTGAAGGAAAATCCCAAAGACGCATCTAAATCCGTAGCAAGATCCGGATTCTGCTCGGTCTTTGCTGCATTAGCGCGATGCTGTCCATCGGCAGTTCGGAATGAAGATCCCTTTGTGGGGAGATATGGGTTGACCGAGATGGAATACAACAAGCTGCTCGAGAGACATGGGTTCAGAAAAGTTCGAGCCCGCAAGTCCATCTTCAAGCAGAAGCAAGTCGCTGAGAAATTCCCGACAGGTATGTGCAAAGCTGTCTTGCTGGCACTGATGAAGGCCGCAGTGCGTTATTTGTTTGCCGGATGCTGTTGGAAGAACCCAAGAAACGAGGAGGACAAGAAAGAGTTGGAGAACGGATGGCAGCTGCTTGCAGCTTCGTCTGTGCCATTCAAAGCACAGTGCTCTCTTGGAAAGTTTCTCTCTCTTTGCCAAGAGTTTCATGATGAGTGGGATGCTTTCAACACTGGCTTTCTTTCTTGCCGCAGCGATGTGCCCTCGCCTATGCAAAGTGCTGTAGTGGACAGCGATTCAGATACCGAAGGTGAACGACCGACCAAGAGACTTTGTTCCAGGCATGTACGGGAGGAGCTCGCATGCAGCGACTGCGGACATGAGGAGAGCATTGCGGAGTTTGCGATGACTTGCGAGCTGCCGATGGAGATGCAGCACCCTGTCGATGTTTTTGATTGCACCGGCATCAATGCGCAGGACCCGCTCTTCGATCAGGACTCAGCACCCGTCAACCCCACGCAAGACATGCATGGCTTCTGCTTGGAAGATTCTGTTGATAGGCCCCACCTAGACAAGCCCCCTGGTGACGAGTTCGCTGCTCTGTTTGATACTCACATGGACCCCAACGACTTAATGGTTGGAAATTAACTGTATATTGTTTGCTTTAATGATCGCCGAGTCCGTTCAGGCGGCCGCAAACTTTGCCCGGCCAGTGAGGCTTCGGAGCCCGAGGCCGCGGCTTCAACTTGGCTTCCAAGTCTTGGCTTCCAAGTTGACGCCGCAGTGACGGTCGGAGCTGCCATGATTCAAGGACGGTCTGACTCTGTGAGCCTACTACCGGGTAGCAAGTTACCGTAGTACCGTACCGCGGGCCGGCGGCCCAGTCACGGTCACCGTCACTCACGGTGCGCGACTCGTTGAAAAGTTCAACGGCCGACGAGAGTCCTTACCGAATTGAGAACGATGACTCTATATATCTCTTATTATCTTAAAATCATTGTACGTATCTTTTTTTTGTTCAAACTAAAACTCATTTTGTTGTTTGGTAAAAACAAAAAAGAAAAGTCGTTCCTTTCACCACTCAGTTGTTTTTGTTTGACTACTCCGGAAATAGATCCTGCTGTTTGACTCTCCCTGATCCAGGCATGTTTGAAGTGCTCGCGGCAAGAAGGTGAGAAGGAGGAATAGAGACAAGAGGAGAGCAGATAAGAGCTGAGCAAGGAGAGAGAGGAGAGGAGGAAGGAGAGTGATGAGGGAGAGAAGAGAGGAGAGCAGATAAGAGCTGAGCAAGGAGAGAGAGGAGAGGAGGAAGGAGAGTGATGAGGGAGAGAAGAGAGGAGAGCAGGAGAGAGTGTGATGAGAGCTAAGCATGGAAAGAGATCACAGAGAGGAAGGGAGAGAATGGGCAAGAGGTCGGAATTAAGGATGCGTCCTTCAGCACTTGCCAGATGGTTTAGCAGGTGTCCTGACTTGAGTCGCAGCTTGGGCAGCGTTGGGGCTGTGAACGTCATGTATCCAGAGCCTTACTTCCTGTCGGAGAAGTCTCATCGACGGGAGGGAGTGACAAAATCTTCTTGCAACAACGTCACCGACATGGTCGGCAAAGGCTGTATGGTCCCATCGGGATATGCCTACGGCATTGGAACCAACCGCCAAACGTTCGGTGGCGATTACGGTCCCGAGACCTACAATGTTGGTGACATCTGGGGCGGACGACAGGAGTGATGGGCGCTTGCTCGTTTCACAACTGACCAATCGCTGGGCAAAAACTCAATTGGATCTTTGGGATGGTTTTAATATACAGCTCTTGTCATTGACCTTTGATCTCTGAAACAATAAAATTCAAGGGGATCGCTACAGTTGCTCCCAACGAAACGCCCAGCAGCAGAGCGACCTGTGGAAGACTATCAGCTTCTCCTCTTTTTGACTCTTCGTGTTGCGTGCTAATACCACCATGATGTACCCCGCATGCTCTCGTTCTCTGACAGATCCGATGTCTGTTGATGCAGCAATCGGCTTGAATCTGATGAACAAGAATTTCGAGCGATACCTGGATTGAAGGACAAGCAAGCTTGTGGAGCGTAAGTCATACATACAACGGAGAGAGCTCCGTTTGAGTATCCTAAAGCCTTCGGAAACAATCAGACAATCCCTGGCAGCAAAGCTTCTTCTGCCAGCATACAGCAGTCGTGAAAAACAGCATAAGATCACTGCGTATTGCATCGCCCCCTGCGAGTGATTGTCAACAAATTCTTGATACTCAAAGGATCGATATGGTACCAAACACCATGAAGGAAGGAATGAAAACAACTCTCAGGTACGACATTCCGAGCAGCTGAGCAGTCCTGTCACATCCAAAGAAAGCAAGTTCACTCTACTCAACTTGCCGTCGGCATTCCATCCTCAATGATAGAGTACAACGAGCCTTTTGATTTTTTCCGGAAAAGTCGTGATATCGGAGCCCCCGTTGCATTGCCCAACGTGTCTGTTGCAGCATATATAGATACGACGATTACCGATAGCCATCTGCGCCAATTAGTCGAGTTCGGCATTGCTGGTCCTTCCTTACCCTCTTGTCAATCCGAGTGTAGATCCTTCGACGTTTGTTGCCATTCCTGGGAAGACCGCCATCGTTGTAGCGTTGATGACGATCTAAGAGCGTGACTGTCATGACATAAACGAACAGTCTTTGATCAACCTGAGACCAAGCATATACTCCAACCTGCCAGCAATGCCATGTCACCGCACCTGGAGAGAACGATGGGCACAGGACCTGCTTCATTATTGCCAACTTTTCACCCCATCTCAGCGCACGATCAGGAGGCACTGGAGGGATATTCAAAGATATTGCGTATCCGACCTTGCTGACCAGTCAGATGAGTTCCAGAGGATTTGGTGTAGTTTACAGCTGCACAGATCAACGCGATCATGGAAGAGATAGCGAAGAAGGCAACTCCGGTATCGCTCTCGGAGAAGGTAGCCTTCGTCAAAATCCTAAACCCACAGACCTGTCCAGGTTTCACGCAAGGAATGTCGAGACATGGGCACACAAGCAAGCCGGCGAATCCTTGACCCGCCTGCGCCGGAGTAGCGAGATCAACTGCAGACGGAACGTGAGCTGGTCGCAATCAGAATGATGAATGTTGCTTTCCTCCTGCTTCTGAACGACTGCTGATTGAAGAAACAAATCCCCACAGAGATCCCTAGAGAGTCTCATGCTCATGGCTCAAGAGCAGAAGTTCCGAACCTCAATCACTCCACTCCCCATAGCCAGAATTCCAGCCAAGACAAACACCTTTGAATGTGATGCATCACAAGAGCACAGACGGGATGAAGCAACAGACCAGCGTCCAGGCCATTCCTTCCGAGAGTCTGTCGATTGCGGCAGGAATACACAACAACATGGTCGAGACAAGAAGGAACCCAACCCCAAACCGGAACGAGAAGCTAAACTTTGCTCCCTCCTGCACTATCTCTGTCATCCTCGGAAGTTCCGAAGGCATTTGGTCTGTTCTCACCTGACTGATCAGTAGCAAAGTCACGAGCGTCGCCACCTGGAGGTTTCAAGTCATCGAACCCTCGGGGTCAACTTTCAGCAAATGGCACCTCAAACAACCAGGTGAACCACACGGCGGCGCTGGGACTACCAGGAAACGACAGACGAAAATAATCTACAGCTGCAAGCAAGCTGAAACATCGATGAGAAATTCATGCACACACGTCAAATCAGCTTCCCAAACCTATTCCAAGCAACCAGTGTTCCTGGTAATCAAGAATCACACTTAGAAGCAATGGACAACTTGACGCACCCGTTCCCAGCAGGAAGACCGAGAAGGACATCAGCGAGGTGGAGTGTTCTGCTTCGGTTGGAAAGCAGGAATTCACAACGGCATGCAAAGGCTCGAAGCATTCTCACCGTGGTCTTCACCACTTGGTTTCCTTGCTTGAAGGAGTTGAAAAGGATCTTGATTCGCATAAGACAGTCGATCGTACGGTAGCTCATGGTGGTTCGATTTGGCCAGGAGTGCATCTCTACAAGACAGGCAAAAAGAGAGACTATTATCACTTAAGTCTTTACACTCCCTCCAACTTCTTCACCTCCCCCCATTCTCCCCTACCTTCACCCCCTCCCCTACCTTCACCTTCACTCCCTCCCCTACCTTCACTCCCTCCCCTACCTTCACCCCCTCCCCTACCTTCACCCCCTCCCCTACCTTCACTCCCTCCCCTACCTTCACCCCCTCCCCTACCTTCACTCCCCTCCCCTACCTTCACCTTCACTCCCTCCCCTACCTTCACTCCCTCCCCTACCTTCACTCCCCCCCTACCTTC